TTGGGAAATATACAAGATGATGCCTCCACTTCTGACAATAGAGGTATGGCCAGGGGTTTGATTGATAGAATGAATGATTATGAGTTTGTTTTTGCATTGCACCTGATGAAGTATTTATTGGGAATCACAAATGACTTGTCACTTGTTTTGCAACAAAGGGATCAAAATATTGTCCAAGCCATGAGTTTGATTGATACTATGAAATCTCAATTGCAAGACTTTAGGGAAGAGGGATGGCAAATAATTTTAGATGAAGTCAACAATTTTTGTGAGTTGAATATGATTCCCGTGATTGATATGGAAGACAGTATAGCAATCCGTGGCAATGCCAGGCGCAGTCGCAGAGGTCAAACCATCACTAATTTTCATCATTATCGCGTGGAAATTTTTTGTGAGGTATTATTTTTGAAATTATTATTTCATTACATTTGTTACTTGTTAGCAGATTTTCTTAGTTATTAATTTTATTATTGTTGTGATGTCAGGTTGTTGATTTAATTATACAAGAGATGAATAATCGTTTCTCGGAAGTTAGCACGGAATTGCTTAGTTGCATAGCATGTCTTGATCCAAAAAGTTCTTTCTCTCAATTCAATGTGCAGAAACTACTCCGTCTTGCTGATTTATATCCTGAAGACTTCTCAAGTAACGATTATTTATATCTTGAGTCTCAACTTCGAAATTATATTTATAATGTGCAACGCGATCCTCAATTTTCAGAAGTTGGAGATTTGGGAAGTCTTACTCAACAAATGGTTAAAACTGGTAAAAATACAGTTTTTTCATTTGTTTATCGTCTGATCCAGTTGGCATTAGTTCTACCAGTTGCGACTGCTTCTGTTGAAAGAGTATTTTCTGCAATGAATATTGTCAAGACTGATTTGCGCAACAAAATGGGAGACGAGTGGATGAATGACTGTCTGGTTGTATACATCGAGAAGGATATTTTTGCAACAATTGAAAATGAGCAAATATTGCAACGTTTTCAACGGATGAAGACTCGCAGAATGCAATTGCCTCCTCTTCGTTATTCGAGTGCAACAACTACCAATACTTCAAGTGTTAATCAATAACAAATTTTTGGGTATGTATAATTATATGTTTTTATTATTTTTATAATTATTGATTCTAAATTTTACTTATTAAATATATTTATTTCGTCACAAAAAAAAATTTTTAATACACTTCAGCCCCCCCAAAAATAAATTTCTGGCTCCGTCCCTGCATCTATGGTCTTGTAACTACTCACAGATAGAACTGTTTTCAAAGAAATTATCATGTCCTCGGCGAATATAATCCAAAGATGTTCCCTCTGGATTGCACCATAGCGTAATGTCCCTGGCTTGGGATTGGAGGGGTTGTCGGATGAGTCGGTAACAGTATAAACTCGACCATTTTTTCCACCCGTTGCATCGGCGCCAAAGCCTCTTGCACAATCAGCTAGAGCCTGGCGATTGGCGTCCCAGTTAGGGTCTGAACGCCAGCAAGAATCTATGGCGTTCATTCTGTTACTTTGGGAATGAGTTTGTAAGATGAAAGAAATAAATGTTAGTAGAAAGCATGAAAGCAATAAAGGAAATCTTGGGTAGGCCATAGCTTGTGATGAATTTGAGAAGCAATTAACGTTAGAAGTCGATGTGCATGAAAGAAAAGCAACCTTGGAGGTCTATTTATAGGAGATCAGAAAGGAGTATCTAAAATGGTCAGGTAATAAGGATATCTAAAATGTTTATTACGATGTTTAAGAGTAAAGTTGTGAAAACAAGCTTGAAACGAAAGTTGACTGGGTATTTAACTTATGCTGAAAGAGAAATCTCGTATTAGTTTTTTTTTTTTAATTTTCATGGGTTATTAAATTCTAAAGATCTGATTTGATCAAAATGCAGGTCTTTGAAAGTAATTAAGTGTGAACGTGTCGTGAATGATTATGTTACTAGATTATAAGTGTTTTGCTAATAAAATTAGAGATAAAAATTGGGATGACGAGTTTTTTTTATATAGGTTTGAAGTAGCATTCTCTTGTGCATTTGTAATATAATTCTGAGATTGTTTTTTCAAGGACGGTAATCGAACCGACCTGTTTGTGAGCAGATCAATCAAAAACTTGACTCGGACTCGGATTGACCGAGTTCCAATAGCTTGATAAATTGAGCAAGTCGAGTTCGAGTATCCAGATGCAATGTTTGAAAGTTTGTCGAGCATTATCGAGCTTTTTAATTTTAATTCTTTAATATATTATTATTGTGAAATTACCCTTATGCTTAAAAAAGTGGTTGAATTTACGAAATATTTCAAATCGTATAAACTTTTTAAAGGGCAATAATGACTTTTCGTTCAAAAATTGCCAAGAAAACAAAATTTTATAATTCGAGATCGATAAGACTTGCATTGACTCGAGCTAATGCAAGTCAAACTCAAGTTCTATGAGCAATCATTAAACTCGAGCTCGAGCATCCTTCTTGCATGTCGAGTCGAACTCTAGTATCGCGAATCGCGAATTAGGCTTAATTACATCCCTGGCACTTTCTCCCGTTACAAGTTGTGTATCATCCTCATTTTCTTGGTCACCGACATTCATTTTTTGTCTTGCTTAGCTCCCAACTAGCTAGTCCAGGAGTTATAAACCTTCCTAGTTGGGATTACATAAGCTATAGTTTCTTCGTATAGGGAGTGAAAACAACCATTTACATCAACCATACATCTTAATGGAAGGAAAACTTCATGTCAATTTCTGACAACATAAACCCCACAAGTGAAGTTTCATCTTAACTAGCTAAGCGCCAGCAGCTTTGACCATTTCTAATTGAAGAATGATTAACAAGCACATCATGAGCGAAAATCTTTTTATACGACTTTAAACTCTCTTTAATTTCCATCACATCCCAAAAAGCTTACATCAATCTGGAAAAACAGTAAATTATTATTCCCTCCGTCCCATTGAAAGTGTCATACTTTTCATTTTGAAATATCCCAAAATAATTGTCATATTAGAAAAGTCAAAACACCTTTTATATTTTTTTATATATAATACGAAATAACGAAAATAACTGTTCTAATTTAACCACTTGGGCTAACTCATGTTACTGAAAAATTGCAGTTCTAAGCCCAGAAATCTAAATTGGATTTATCTATTGAATCATTTTGCAGGATGAAACATTTAAAAGCACTAGTGTTATCACGTAATCAGAATTTAGGCCTCACCTCAACTGATGGCACTGCATCTCTGGAAGAACTGTCAAAGTAACATTGTTCTGTGTACAGCTCTAACTTTTAAGCAGTATTTGATGATTTCAGATTTCCACCTGGCAGCTCTGGATCGCCATTTTTTCCATCCAGTATATATTTGATGGTATTGTACAAACTCAGTTTCATGGAAACTTAAATTTAAGTTTACACTCAAATTGCATGCATTTATACCAAAAGGTATAAGAATTACGTCAACCTGTATAAATTGGACAGAACTCAACTCGTAAAGTCCCATTTTAAATTTTACGCGTCACAAAATTCTTGAGATCAAGGAGACTGAAACTGGTCATGCATAATGAGGTTTCAAGAAATTGACTGGTGAACTGAGTGATCATCAAAAGCTCCATTTTTCCACGCACAAACCCTCCTCAGCGTTAGCCAAACAAAGAGAAAACGTCCACAAATGACTGGAACAAACCCGCGTTTTTTGTTGTCTGCTGGATTCTCGTATATGCCTGTTCTAGCTAAATCGGAGACGACGGTCCACTTCAACATTCCGTTTACAGGAACCGTAAATTGCATGCTAGTCAAATTACAGTATGGGAAGTTTCAATAGACAAATGTTTGATGGGCGGAAATTATTGAGCCAAGCGTGTCTCAGGCTGGCACGTAATCTATATATACTACACTACTAATCTTTATGCTTAACCATGGAAGTAAACTTCAAGAGTCATGAATTTGATATCAAGAGCAGACTGAGCCCTGTCAAAGACGGGATTGTGGGCCTAAAACATCCCAAAACATCGTATTAGTAACATCCCTATTTTTGGAAGTGCGTAAAGGACTAATGCTATGTTCGATAATCAAATCCTTCCTCGGTCTCGGTGTTTAATGATCTCAACAATTATTTCTAGATCATGAAAACATTTTTTTTCCTAGATCATGAACGTTCCTTTTCCATAGGAACTCACCTTTCCCCAGATTCCAAGGAGCAAGGATATAGAATAGTCCTCCACTCCTGGTGGGAAGTATCATAGAGTTTTTTTTTTTTTTTGGTAAATAAAAGTTTGGATAGGTTCGACTCCAAATCACCACCACTTAAAACATATTTTTTGAGACTATAGGTCGCTTACAGAACCCACCAACACGGCCCTCATATTAATATAGGCCGCTTACTACAGATCGCTTTTTATTATCGGGATCATAAGTCGCTTAATACAGTCATCGCATCAATAAGTGGAGTTGTTACTGCCGCCCATTAATATAATCCTTACATCCATGATGTCGGGCAAGTATTACAGAGTATTATCCCATTCGTTTCTCTCATTTTCCTCTAGAAAGACAAGAAGGCGGAATCTGTATCGAGTAGAAGAGGGACAATCCATATCGTTGAGTTCCTATAAGATTTATTGTTAGGATGAACCACACTCTTACCATATTCATCTGAATTTGTTACAAAATAATTAAAAAAAAAAAAAGAGTTATTCGATGTTTCATGCCATGTTATAGAAGGAAAACTTGGCGTTGTGATCTGTATTTGCTTAACGTACATTGGCAAAGCCAAGACCAATAATTGCTTGGGCCAATAATGCAGGAAGTTCTAATTATTGGCACATAAAAGAAAACTTGTGCTACAATGTTGGATTAACCCTGTCATCTTCAGATACAGACTTTTTGAAACTCATTCACTAATTTCTGAATGTTTTTAATCGCTTGTAATTTTCATACTTCAAATAGGATAATTGTGAGACAAAAAGAAAAGGTTTGAAAATTTTGGGGTGCATAAATTTTAATCTAAACTAAGATAAAAAAAATTAGTTTCTAAAAGAGAAATTAAGATGCAATTACAACGATTTTTATTCACAAAATAAACAACTCCAGCTCCTCGGCACTGCTTCCGCCGAATATTTTAGAATGTAGCTACTAGCTAGCTAGTACATATGCTGCCTACATATTTCTCTATACATGGTTACAGAAAATTCAAAAGCAACGTATATTAATAATTTAGAAAAAATGAAGTATGACAAAATGCAAGAACAATTTGTTTACGAACCATTCGAAGGTTTACCGTTTCTGTAACCACTCCTGAATGGCAGATCGAAGAGCATGGTTCTGCACAAGATTGCGATGCGCCAGTTTGAGGTTTGTCATGGGTGAAGTGTCATGATCGCTGTCCAACCATCCTTTTAAAGCCTCTGCTTCATATGTATACCCATCAGCTGCAACTACAGGATCTTGCATAACCTCCTACAAGTGTGAGCCAAGAAAATAATATCTCACCCATTAAAACGACCAACTACTAATGAAAAGTTCCTAGAAACCATAAACAGATGGATAGAAAATAGGATAGTTTAGCAAGCTAACTCTCTCAATCTGACATGTACAGATTAGTGATGGCTAGACAAGAAGATGCAGTACATGGGTTCTATAATCTTCTGTTGTTATATCAAGAAGGAAAAGACAAAATTGGAGCGCATGGTTAGGGAATTTCAAAGATCAAAACAAGCTATACATACCTGAAAGATGGGACAAATGAAGTAAGATGGCATCTGAGACTCCTCCTCGAATATCAACCTAGAACAACATGTCCCACAAGATGCTCTCATTGGTTCGAGCACCCTCCAGATCTCTGAAGCAAGTTCAGGACGAGTCTTTCGACTCATCTCACAACTCCTCATTGCTAAGTGAACCAACTGTTGCGCTTGCACAAATGGCCAGTCACCGGCAGTTGAGTCCAAGATATCTTTCAAGTTTCCTTTATTTAACGCATTCTCAACTTCCTTATATATCCCCAGTGCAGGCTTCCCAGTTAACAGCCTCAATAAAATGATTCCAAATGAATAGACATCTGACTTTGTAGTTAGCTCTCCAGTCGCAAGATATTCAGGGTCTATGTATGCAAGAGTGCCTTTTGGGTGGTCCGTTCTGCAGCACAGTGAAGTGTTGTTGTCTGAAAATTTATCTTCCCCAAGAACACGACACATTCCAAAGTCACAGAGCTTGCTAACAAAATTGTTGTCAAGCAAAATATTTGCCGGTTTTAGATCACCATGGATAATGCCTCTAGGGCTACAAGAATGCAAGAAGATGAGAGCAGAACAGAGCTCTGAAGCAATACGAATTCGAGTTTGCCATGATAGTGGGGGTGTATTATCCTTGCAGCTGAGTCTATCTTCAAGGCTTCCATTGGGAAGATACTCATAGATGAGGGAACAAGTTTCCCGGCAAGCTCCTATAAGCGTGACAATGTTCGGATGCCTCAATGTACTCAAAATGCCTACCTAACAAGATTTAGAGAAAAAAAAAAAAGGGGGAATTAGCTCTTTCTAGATTCCACTGAACAGAATACTTCAACCAATCATGTTGTCCAATACATTTGATTAAGAAGGATGACACAAAGAAGAGTATAAAGATCATCTGCAGCTCCATGTTCAATACAACATCCAGTTTATGTGCATTAAAGGTTCACCATCATCCCTGCAATAACACTACAGTAGACTCCCTATGCACTTGATTGCCTAAAATGAGATCAACTCACAGAAGTGTCTACACAATGCATTTAGCCATTACATGAAAATAAACAAAGAGCTCACTTACTTGAGCGGCACAGACTTCACCTCTACAAGACCATAAACAAAGGGTTCATGTAGTAGAAAGTACTATGATTGGATCCAGCACACATCAAAGCTAATGGAATGGGGTTGCTTATGATGTTTCTGGGCTGCCAATCAAGTTAAGGAACCACATAAAATGGTATCACATAGAACAATGAAAAGGAAAAGAAGCAGGGCTGGAATTCAACAATAATTAGCCATAATAAAGTGCTTATGGGTGGTTATATGGGAACATGTGCTTTGGTAGTTAGAATGAAAATTGGTTGTGGTTAGGGTAACAATTAGTTTTTGTGAGGGTAAAAATGAAGTTAAAAAGGTGACAAAAAATTGTTTGCACTGAACCCAAGGCTCCCACTTTATTTGTTGTATAGATAATAAAAACAGCCTTTATAGCCTAGGCCTGTTTCAATGCTCTGCTTCCTAAAAACACCACTTGCACAAAGAAAATACAATTGAATGTTCAATCTTTCAGAAAACCAGACAGTCCCAGGTTGAGGGCAATCAAGACTAAGAAATGTTTAGGACTACTGGCCAGTAGGCAACATGCTTCCTCTTTTAAAAGTCAAAGAAAGACAGACAGTTTCCGCGGTCCTAATAAATGTTCTCAAGACTAAGCCAATCCTTTCATAGAAACCAAAGGATGAAGTTCAATTTAAAATATTACGAGTATAACTAGAGATGGTTGTCTTACAACTCTACCTACGAGAGTAAAACCAATCTTCATTACCAGAAAAGAATGTGATTTATCTCTGATTTCAAAAAAGAATGGAGTTTAAGTTACAAACCTCCTGTTGAAACTCCAAGGGACCCTGTGAGCTATGCTGGTGCAGAACTTTTATAGCTACTTGAGTGTGATGAAGATGACCCTTATAGACACTTCCATAACCCCCTTCACCTATCTTCAATTCCTGATCAAAATTGTGAGTTGCTTCGTTAATTTCGCAGATGGAATATTCAGAAAAGAAACAAGACATGGATGCGCTTGAGGCCTCCTCAGCTTGCTTTATTTTCAGCTCCTCAGCTTCCCTGACTGCGTTGTCACGCTCAACCTGTAAATTATCTTTTTCAATCTTGAATTTTTGCAATAGGTCGATGGCAGCGAACATTTTCTGTTTCAAATCCTCTACTGTCTTATCAGAAGTTGCAATTTGGGACTCCAGAGAGGATTTCTGTTCCATAGCAACTTGGAGCTTATTCTTGATTTCATCTAGTTGATATTGCATGTTTTCAATTTCTTCCTTGTGCTTTACTAGCGCTTCCTCAACTTCTTTTCTCAGTCTGAATTCCTCTGAGTACCTAGCTTCTGATGCTCTAGCCTGTTAAAAGAATTAAAATTGAAGACTGCTTCACTTTAGGAGTCATGATTGTTAATAGAATTTTTTAATCTGAGCTCTATACAAAACTGATTCTCAGAGTATAATGTTCTCTTTAATATATTTTTTTACTTCAAATAGAAATTCAAATACCAAAATTTTGCCCCCAAAATAGGAAAAAAAAAAAAAGGAACAGTTTGTAATCACTTATCTAATCTCTGCTGAATTAAAATCCGTCCAAGTAACAATGAGATACCTTATAAAATTTGCATACAGGTTAGAATGAGAGAAACAATTTCACCAGCTAGCATTGTTCACCAAAATTATAAGTGTCCAAGTAAGAGGACTTAACGTCATTTGAATGACAACATACAAAATTAACTGTTACCGTTGCAAAAGATGATTGCAAATAGAAGCTTACCCATCTGGCAGCCTCAATAGCCTCTTTTACAGCTTTCCTATGCTTCATTGATTCTTCATATGCTTCTCGCCTAGAAATTTCCGCATCCTCCACAGATTGTTGGAGTCTGTTGTAGAGTTCATCATGCATATTCCCTTCCTGGAAAAGGACAGAACGACTCAAATGGATAACTTAAGTTCACGAATATCAGAAAGAAAAACTCATGTCACAAGGAATAAAACAATATGGATGTCCCAACAATTAGATATACACTTGTATAACTTTTAGCACTTTCTCATCACATGCAAATATTAGATAGTGATAACTCCATACATGTTATCAACGACCATGACAGAATGATCTTATTTTTACTTACTGTGACTAGGGGAGAAGGAGACAAACTGCAGTAATCCTCATCAGAATGAAGTGGGGCATCCAACTCATTTCCACTCCCCACCATCCGAGGAATGGAGAGTGAGGCTAAATCTTCAATTATTTCACTTGATGAAGAAGAAGAAAAACGTGAAGCCATTGAATGACTTCTCTGTGGTCTCCCATCCCAACCATCAGAGCTCTGTTGGACACTTGACCTACTGTGAGGTGATACACCTCCAAGGCCGTCACAGGGAGAAACTCCTGTGAATTTCAGGGCATGGTTGTCAGACACTACCCTACGATGGTCAGGAACTGACAATGATGAGAGTAATTGGCCATTCTCCCCCAGGGGAACAGAGCTGGAGAGTGAGGCTAAATCTTCAATTATCTCACTCCCCACCATCCGAGGAATGGAGAGTGAGGCTAAATCTTCAATTATTTCACTTGATGAAGAAGAAGAAAAACGTGAAGCCATTGAATGACTTCTCTGTGGTCTCCTGTCCCAACCATCAGAGCTCTGTTGGACACTTGACCTACTATGAGGTGATACACCTCCAAGGCCGTCACGGGTAGAAACTCCTGTGAATTTCACGGCATGATTGTCAGACACTACCCTACGATGGTCAGGAACTGACAATGATGAGAGTAATTGGCCATTCTCCCCCTGGGGAACAGATCTGGATCTTAAGGAATGAGATTGTCCAGTTTCATCACTCGGACTAGCCTGAAATGATCGAGACATAACCTCCAAGTTGTCTCCACTTGGACAAGGCTGAAGTAATGGAGACATACCCTCCATGTTGACCCCACTTGGTGTACCTTCCCTGCATAGATCAGAACTTGAACTACTAATCATCAAGCAAAACCAAAGAGATAGTTATTCCAAAACTTGCTGCCAGGTAAAATTTCAGCAAAGTAAGTTAAGAATTCTCAAAACTTCCAGGCTATATCTGTTTTTTAGGAAATGATCACAAGCAGATGGTCCATCTATTAGTCATGTTATACACCCTTATTTACTTCTCTGGATGAAAGCTCACTAGAAGACATGAGGAAGACTATCAGAAGAAATACCTTGTATGAATCAGGTGCCCTTTGCATATAAACCGAATTTGACAGAAACTAGGTGCTTGTTGCCGCACATAGATGGCTTTCTTAGACCTAGGCTCCATCATCTTCCTGAATCAATTGCTTAACATTAGAAACAGATGTATTCACATCATCATTACAAGTAACATAATGCTTATATAATATGATAGCACATATCAACTGTAATCTTGTTAACAAAAAAAGATGTAGCTAGTGTATTCATTTATTTCTATGATAACTGCAAGCAGAAATGAGATTGTAATCACACCAATGAATCATTTGAAAGCATATTTGTTGAATTTTTCAACATGCACACTAAAAAAGATATACCGCACTAAAGAATTGAGTCAACTCACCCAGTCGAGAATAAGCAATGGGTGCTCCAAAATGGTGGAGAAGCTCCACAAGGGCATCACAAATATTCCTTTGCACACCATGTAATTTCTTTATGTAGCATTTCTGTTTCATAATTTATTTTCCTAACAGCTTCCTTCCACCCAGCACCCCAAAAGAGGAGAAATATAAAGAAAAGTGAAAAGACTGCAGCTGATCAGTTAATTGATGGAAAAGGCAAAGAGGTTTGACTTTCAGGAAGCAAAGGAATTTTTCTGTGAACCTGTCATTAATAAATTTTCTAGTGTTCAAGTTGCCCTTCTTTTCCTTTGGTTCAACAGAGACTGTAAACCTTATCCTTACAAGAGGAAAGGGGAAGGGGGGGGCTTGATGGTCGAACCAGAAGCCTTATGGTACCCAAATAAGGTCCCAGCCAGCTGAGCTTATAGGGGTATTCTTCTTCAACTCTCCTGAGACTAAAAGTGTTCTTGGTAATTCTATGCCAACTAGGATTTACTTTACTGTTTCACAAAACTTCTAAGGAACAAGTGGAGGCCCGGTGGCTAAGATGAGTTTAAAATGTCACCAAAAGAATATAAGATAAATATAAGGTTTTTACCTTGAATAATGTCCTTTAGCTGCACCTCCCATTACAAGCTTCTTGATACAATGCAGTAAAATTAGCTCTACAATGCCCTTTTCAATGGAGTCCTTCTCAATGTATAGTTTATCCACTTGCACCTTTAATAATAATAAATAAATAAAAAAAAAACAGAGTACTGAGCGTCCTAATTGGCTGTTGGTGCTATAGTAACACAACAATTTTAGTTTTCCATCTACTCAGTGGAAAAACAGAATTAGGTTTTTAATAATTACATATAGTCAGTCAAAGAACAAAAAGAGTTCAATGAACAAAACCTACAGAAAGAGAATGAAGGACAATACCCCTGCTTTCTTGCAAATCAACATGTACTTGTCAAGGAGCTTTTGCATATCTTGCCTCTCGGCTTCATGATGTGCTCTAACTCGATATTCCTCCAGCCTACTAATGGGAACATTTGCACCCACTACAAACCAAGAATGACATTTTAGATACACTTAGATTGACATATCCGACACATGATAATGTCGTTCATCACTCAACAAGAACCTTGATTTCACGATTGACAGCTGACACATTTAACCAAGTTGTGCTAAATTATGCACCACATGAGCAATGCGAGCAATGCATAGGCGATTCTTTCTGAACCATCACTTACTGCAAAGACATTCTTCTTTCAAGTTTGAATTAGGAATGGTTAGTTAATAAGCTAATCAAGAAGCTATCCAAGTTACTCTCTCTCCCTCCCTCTCTCTCTGGGTGTTAAATAACTGTCATCTTGATATGGAATAGTTCCCTTATTACATTATAAATCAGGTGAAGGATGAGAGACAAGGCAGCCAACCAGACAAGGCTTAATGTAGAGAACAGCTAACAAAATAGGAATACAAAGACTCTCTGTAAATATATTTTTTTTTTCCAAAACATTACGTACTGTAAACTCTGGCAAAATATGAAATACCAAAATGAGTTGCATTTGATCATAAAGAATACACATCAAAAGAAAAATTAAAGCACATTTCTATCTGCTAAAACATGTCTTCAGTTCCTCATGAAGAACACAGAAATTTTATGTCAAGCGGATTAGAAACCCATTTTTAAGGAGGATTCAGAGGTTTAGACCACATTCAGTTAATTTCTGTTCTTTATCAGCAGCAGGGGAAGCAAGATCAATGGCTTCAGAACATCTTCCACACATACATAAGCAAGAAAAAAAAAAGGAATTGATTTCCACTGCTGTCCCAATTCCCTAATCCAAAAAGGACTAAAGTACAATCTCTCGTCAAGTTTTCAAACAGAAAACAAACAAACAACATGAACCAATGATGATCAAGTTCCTCCTAATACAATTAAGCAAGCAAACCAAAAAACTTGTTAATTTCCAGTTTATATTTGACCAAATAAAACTTAACTCAAAACCCCACCAAAATTCAAACCATAATCAAGCAAATCCCAGAAAAACAAATACCGGCAAAGGCAATTTTTGTAATCAATTCAAAGAATATAATAATATCATAATTCATTACTCATGGAAATTTTCTGGGCAGGCTGATGAACATGAAGAATGATAGTTTTCCTCCCTCCACAATTATGCAATGCCCACGATAATGTCAACTCTGCCTCTTTGACTTCTTTCCCCAAAGCAACATACACTGCATCATCACTATCTGTCAAAGCTCGAGATGGTGGAGCAAAATTTGGGCTTGTGGTTGAAGAAGAAGTTGAACTGCTCCTCTCTTCAACAATCTCGCTGCTGGATGAACTCATACTCAGCGCTCTTAAATCAACCGCTGGATACCTTATTCTCTCTGTCCTTTGTGGAATTTCTCTTACAGAAGTCAGCAAAGCCATTTACATGAACAATATATTCCCCGTCCTTTGTCTTCTAGGTTCCTTCTTTACTGTAGCAAAGCAAGCAACCTTATCGCAACTCTGAACCCATGTGGATTATTACTACCAGCATTCAGTATTCTTGACAAAAATGAAGAAAAGCCCTTGATTTTTTGAACAAAAGGGTATGAAAATTGACAGAAAAGTTGGGATTTTTTCGAGGTGATGAAATTGAGGAAAGTTTGGGAAGATTGCACAACGTAATGATGCTCCTAAAAGGGTTTACTTGTCTGAAGCTATTTATCAGGTCTTTTTTATTGATACAATTGTTAGTATAATACTTATTAAAGTTACTTCTTGGTCAATGGATTCGATGTAATAGTGAAATTGTGTGAAAATTGCATTAATTAGGAGTGTTTTCTTGAGGAGGGCGGCATCTGTGTTCTACTACCATTCTTAGGTCTACTAACTCTTGTAACTTCTCGTACTTGGCAATTGGGGTATGCTTGCACAGTCTTACTTAGGTACGAAGGTTCCAAGGAATTGCAGGAGTAGGCCCACCGAAACCAGAGCTGAGGTTGAACAAGTAAACCACAAAGAAATGGTTTAATGAATAAAATTGGTCGTTAAGCCAAGGTACTTTGGTAGTATATTTTATGAAAGTCAGAACTTCAGGAAGTTGCATGTAGCTAGCCAATCACCTAAAGCGAAAGTACAAAGCCGGATTGGCGAAAACCTGTTTTTATAGTCAATTAATATGGTAACTGATTCTTTACCGGGAGAGTTTGATGTAGAAATAATGAAGCGTATGTTGGCAAAGCTTTGAGAGTCCTGGATCACCGTTTCACCTTGCGAGTACCACTGCCAGTACAGTAGCATGTACGGCAAGCACCCAAGGTTTGTAGTTCTCTTCTCTTAGAAAGGAAATGAATCAAAAAGTTTTTGGATTGATGTTTTTGGAAGAAAAAAATTTTACGTTTCTTGTGATCGCATTTTACGATCACTATTTTACCTTAAAAATATTAAATTATTATTGTATATATTTTTATAGAAACTCTGAAAAATATCAATTCAAATACAATCTATCATTCTGCAATGACTATGATGTCAGAATTGCAACTATTCTTGGAGGATGTGCAGGATCTTAGAACACATTTTGAAAGCTGTAGGTTTGTGTTGTGTTCATACCTAGAACTGGAAATGAAATCAGCCATGCTTTAACTCAATTTGCTGTCAAGCTAGTGCATGATATTGAATGGGAACAAGACTTCCCAGTTTGGCTGATGGAATTAGTGAGGAAGGAAATGAGGGTAGTAACCCTTTTGGTAATTAAATCTTGTATTATCAAGTGATTATCATAAATATAACTGTTAACGTTTGTGGAAAAAAAAAAATACAACCTATCATTTTCCCTTTTCAAAAGAATAAAAAGTTTTTGCTTTTACAAATTATGCTGTGCCTTTATCCTCTATATCCGCAACAAATATTAGTCATGTAATTTTTTTTTCCTTTTTTGGATAGAATAACTATAATTCTTATAATAAAACTGAAATTCTTATAAGAAGTAGTACCATGCAATTGAATTTTAATATCAATATCAGTGAAGCTAAATTCCTACAGCGTAACATTATTGCCACAGCGGAAATGTTACTGCCACAGCACATTCTAATTAAATGACAAATTTACCACCACTCATTTGGCTCTTCTAATTGAGTACAGAGGGTACATTCGCCAATTTATGTCAAAATGGGCTGTGACACTGAAAAAAATTGCTGCTGTCAACAATATTTCTCTTTGTTTGAACTTTGAACATTTGTATGGGTAATAATGATTTTTACCCCCCCAAAAAAAAAAGGTAAGACATTTTTTAAACTCATTTTTTTTTATCTCCCATTGCTCCCCAACGCGTTTTCATGAGACCAACCTCCAACTGTTAGACCAAGATTCGAACCCTGAACCTGGCTGCAGAGAGAGAGAGAGAGAGAGAGAGAGCTAAGACTCGACCACAAGAAGCTAAGCAAATTAGGAGCCAGGAATTTCAACATGAAAGGACTCTTCATTATGTCAAAATGGACAACGGTTTCTTCTCATCCTTTTCCTCATTTCACAGTGAAGTTATGAAAATAATCAAATCTAGGGTAATTTATATACTAATAAGCAACAATCCAGAAGAAAACAGAGTTCAAATTTTATATAAGATTTGCCGTATGATTTCTTTTTTAGCAAAAACAAAAAAGTTCAGCGTGTTCCAACAATCATTTTTCAAAGAATTGACTGGCAAGGTTACAATAGTACTGAAGTAACCCATCCTTTCTCTGGCTTCCTTCTGTATTTTCGTCGGCATTTAAGAGATCGTACAGCGAAAAACACGCACACGCAGAGGGGCTGCAAAAGGGATCAACGGACCATTAAAATTCGTCATTTTCATGTCTGGCAAATTGCGAACAAGACGATAATGAAATTTGACTAGTACGCCCCTTGGCTAGGATTTTCAACCGTTGCTTTCGCATGGCTGAAAACGTTAGACGTCTTGCGTTTGGCTTGCTTTTCCTTCATGGTTTCGGCCATATTTCCATCCTTTCTGAATTGAAGGGAAATTTTTTACACGTTTCTAATGTTGTCTGGTAGCATTTTTTTTTTCAAAAAAAAAAAAAAAAGAAAGACTTAAATGAAGATAAGATAATGTTCTTTTCTAGAATTCTATGTGGGGTAATATGGCTTCACATCCTTAAACTGAGTAACCATGGTCCAATCCAGTAGAGAAAATTCAAGAATTTAATACTAACAAAATGAGTACAGCACATAATGGGGCATATGAAATATTCAGACCAAATTGTTTGATATTGGTAATAATCCTATTGGTGAAGATGAATTTGAGAGGATCAGATAATTGTGTTGGTTTGATTTAATAGATCATGTTTGCTCATATGTATTTCATAATTTTCAGGGTTTTGTTCTGTCATTTGATTTTCGAGGCATGAAGGGCTTTTAGTGGAGTCTCTAAATATTCGATCTACCAAGTCTGTGAGAAGTAGTAATCTATAAATGACAAATAAAACATGGTCTTCAATGAGTACAATTTTTGTAGTTTACCATTGTACTCCACTCAAGTACTTTTTCATTGGAGTGCACAAGATCAATTTTGGAGAATGGAGTGCTTATATCCCAAATACTCCCTCCTTTTTTTTTTTTTTATAACTGACGTTTAAAATTTTGCACACCAATTAAGAAAAATTTTTCATTGCTTAAATCTGTTCACTACTTTCCTTTTGTACCCTCATTAATTGTCCAATGAGGGGCAGATAATACGGAGGGGCAGATAATTACTAGGATTGTTATAAAGAGAGAAGCAATAATTACTAGGAGTAGTAATTAAGAACCCTGTATTGGAAAAGAGAGATAAAAGTACTGTATGGGGATTATAAAACGACAGATAAAAGTACACTGGAGCAAATTTCTTAAACGTCAGTTATAAAAAAAGGGAGGGAATATTATTTCGCTTGCATCATAAACACGTTTCCCAACTCACCTTTTTATATTCTCAATCACCTTTTTATCTCACATACATCACATCACAAAAAGTACTACAGTAATTATTCCAAATAATATTTCAAATAATACTCTATCCAAATAAACCCAGTTTCTTAGAAGTGCTACTCGATCATTTATAAAATTTGGTGTTAAAAGTTTTATCTTTTGTTGATTTTTTATGTTGAAAGAAATTTTTTTTCTATCTGCTGTATTTGCAACATATCTATGATGTATTTACTACCTTTAGTATAATTTTATTAGTGAAATTATATGTTTATCAAAAAAAAGATGTATTAAATTATTTCAAGAGACTTTTTTTTTTATATGTGAAAGGTTTTAAAACCAGTAATACTTTATATTTATAATCTCCTCCGTCTTACCATCCAATCTAACCCTCATTCCTGTCTCAAAAGGCTTTCATGACAAGGTTGCGACATGACCAATTGAAAAAATTTAAGACTCCGAAATATTAGGATTCAAACATTACTGACAAGAAGACATGAATACGGCAACTACGCCTAACCACATTATCACCATTTGGTTGGAATCATTTATGCAGGCTAATAGGGGGGAACCTGCTTGAGTTTTGAGCTGACTGGTACCTATTTAAAAAAAAAAAAAAAAAGTCTTGAACTATCTCAGCCAATGGTAATTAATTGAGCTATTCAACTTCGAACTTGTTAGTAACTCGGTAAAAAATTTGACTTAAATTCAATGTTAATCAAGTTTGAGTTACTTGATAAGTTAATTGAGTCGATTTCGAATAGAAAATTAAAACTTGAGTATTAATCGAGCAATGTATTTATAATATAATTTTTAATTATTTATCACAAAATTATGAAATTTACTAAAAAAAAAAGCTTGAAAACTCAATTGAACTTGATTTGGTCAAATTCAAATTCGAACTCGAGTTCAAGTAAAAAAAAAAAAAGTTCGAGCTCAAACTCGAGTTTAATTTTGAAGAACTCAACGAGTTCGAATTCGAATATTTTTGCTCAAGCAGAGTTTAAGTAGTACATTATCGAGCTCGACTTGATTCGATAGCAGTCCTAAGCCAATCAAATTTTTTTTAAAAAAAAAGGGAAAAAAAAGAGAAAAAGAAAGGTAGTAGAAGACAAGGCCAAAAATAAATGTCACATTAAGGATTAAAAAAAAGGTCACATTAGTGCAAGTTTATTATTGGGAATTAAGGCCGGCCAAGACGTACGGATAATTTAGCCGGGGGCTCAATCGGAGATGGGGGAATATCCAGATTCCTAAGTTGATCCTTTCTTGAATCAATCGTCCACATAAGGATCTGGAGTCCTGTCGAACTCCGAACTTACCTGTTTTAAAAATCTGAATTCTCTCTCAGTATTTAATGCTCAGTAGTAGACTGACCGCGATATTATACGTCCATCACGAATTCTTTGGCTTATGTCCACGTCGCCATTGCCTCTTGCTGCCAACCCATTTTAAATTTCCCATCCAGTCACACCCTGAATTTCCAATTCAATACACTGTTCTGGACCAGTTAGGGTCCAAATCAATGTGACTCTCATATTTGAAAACGGTGAGGTTGATTTCTGGTCGTGGAGGGGTTGCTAAAGTCTTTGTTAATTAGTTTTCCCTTTTAAAAGACTACTGTAAACCGTGTGGGGCAATACCTGATATTCTATGACTCTTCTTGTTTTTCTATTTATTCTGATCCAGAAATTTTCATTGTTTATTCGATGGGATTGATGAGAAAAGAGATACAAAATTGTTTTCAAGATTCAACTCATAAAACTTTAATTCGACTGCCTTTATTCCTTTCCTCTTTCCCCCTTTTAACCGTACAAACAAACACCTCGCGTCAACTTTGGTAACTGATTATCAATAAGCGAATTATTGATCAAAGAATGACCCAAATCTTTCTTCCGAATCTTACTTGTGAGGGTGGGTTAGGTGGTTAAAAAGCA